AGAATCCAAGGCATTCGATAACAGGTTAAGTTTAGTGGCCTTTTTAAAACGGAAACCAAACTGCTGATCTATGATGAAAGGATCACGCAGTTTCGATAAATACTTTTGTAATAATACTATCAAAGAGCTTAGGAATCACACTTTGAATGCATATTGGCCTGTAATTAGTTACATTCGATTTGTCGCTTGATTTGTAATCGGTACACCAAAACTTGATTTCCAATAATTAGGAAACAGTCCTCAACCAAAAAAACTTTTTCTCCCCTACTTGAATTCTTTTCATAAAAAAAGGTCCTCAACCTAATTCTCCCCTACTTGAATTACTTTATTACTTTTTCTGAAAACAAAGGCCTCAAGTGGTGCAAAAACTTTTCCTCTACTTGCTGCATTAAACTTTCCCCTCTCGTCTTGTGTCTAATTTTTCATACAGAACAAAAAAAATCCAGTTGTCGGGCCCCCCTTACACCGCTGCCGGGGGGGGTAGCCGGGAATTAGTCCCGGCTACCCCCCTCTAGTCGGCCCTGGTGGCAAGCCTTTAGGACCTGATGCTTTACTCATATCTAAACAGCTCAGATGTTCAAATATTTTTGAAATAGATATTTGATAATTTGCAACATTTAAAACGGTTGAATATGATTTATCATAATTATGGCATGGTTAATTGCTATAGACTGAGCTAAAGTAATCCTAAAACATATTAGCTAAATCTGTATTCATAGAGCATCTAGTGTTGTTATAGTATATTTCGTTGGGTAACTCATTACTTTTTCTTTTTGAATTAACAAAATTCCAAAATGTTTTAATATCATTACCAACAGATGATTCAGTAAGCCTTATGTAATCATTTTAATCCTGTTAAGACTTAAGTTTACATTGAGAGCGCAAGTTAGAAAATACCATGTAGTCGTTAGAAGATCCACTAAATTTAAATCTAACGTGTGCCTTCTTCTTTAGAATTATGATATTTTTCAATTCAGGTGAAAACCATCTGGGAAATCGTCGAGTGGATAATTTTTTCAATGGTACAAGGAAATGAATTACAGAATACACAAAATCGTAAAAAATATTTACCATTTTATCAAGTGATTTATTTAAGAATAGTGAACCCCACTGAATTAATCCCAGATGATGTTCAATGGATCGAAACTCTGCGAATTTGGAATCACAGTAATACTCATTAGCTACATGTGACGAGTTGCAATAACTAAAAGCAAGGTTCAAGTGTATAAGTAACGGGGGATGATATTTATCGACATTAATTAGAGCATCACTAGCGAGAGAGGTGGTTGTTGAAGATTGATAAGAAAAAACTAAATCTAAAATAGTATTGTAATCATTCCGAACTGCATTGTTCTAAAAAAAATTGTGAAAAGCACACATATTGGAGCAGTTTCATCAGCTCTAGTTCCAGGTCCCAAGGAAGAGGTAGCAGTTGAGCATAGATTATTTGAGATCCATATGGCCTTAGGTAAATTGAAGTCGCCCAAAATGCAAAATTGCGCATGAGGATACGTTTCTGACAAATTATCCAAGTTTTCAGTGAACGAAACATATTTATCATTTGGTGACATTGGAGGAAAGTAAGCAGCTCCTAAAACAAGACTACTTTTACCATTGCCTATAAAGACAAATAACTGTTCAATTTCTTGTGACGGCAAACTACTTCTTATAGATATGGAAACTGCTATAAAAACTCCACCTCCTCTGGAGGATGAGCTGGTTTGTGCAGATCTGTCCTTGCGGTAAATGTTAAAATTTTCAAATCCAAGTTTGGCATCACTAAAGTTTTCTGTCAGCCAAGTTTCGGTGAAAACAATAATTTCGTGGGATACAGTTGTTACATCAGAAATACGTTTACTTAGCTTTGTTCTTAATCCTCTAATGTTTTAATAGTAAATGGAGCTAAGAGAGAACTTAATAGGAGGTGGGCTCTGATTGGTTAATTTTTTGGATTGAAACTAATTATTTTTGGACAACCAGTTATAAATTTGATAATAAGATTATTTCCTCCTTTTTCACGTCGTTTGTATAGTTTTTCTTTGACAAGTTTTCCTGATCCCATTTGTTTACGTGTCAAATCAAAATTAAGAAGGATATGCTTTCCTTTAAGTATATACCGACTTTTAATAACATTATGCACATCATAAGTAGAACTAAAAGTTATTTTAAGAGCCCTTGTCTCTTTAGAATTATGTTTTCCTAATCGCTGTAGTATAATTGATGGAGGTGGGTTAATTGAATTGAAACCTTGGACTTGTCATCATTACTTTCAGGTAGGTTAAACACCATCAATTACTGGTGATATATCTCCAATTGTGGACATAAGTAGATAAAGGGTCTAAGTAACAAAAACATACTTTAAAGATATTTGAGTTTGAAGTTTTTTATTTGAATAGTTCACCATGGGACACTGGTTCTTTATCGACTGGTTACATCTTTATTTGAAAGAATAGCATAACAGATCATAGAAGAAAGTATAGGTAGGTATATAGGCCTTTTATTTATTCAAAAACTTCGATTTTAAAAAATGTACATAGACCCTTTATACACTTATGTCTTTAGTTATCTTTGTTTTCTATAATCCCCATGTCTGACATCTCCTTTAATTTAACTAAGTAGTTTCTGCTTCATCCTTACAGTTTCCAATCTAACATCACTATTTGTTTGGAAATCTCTTACAATATGTCTACACGGTTATCATAAGACATATGCTAACATACGGTGTAGTCGTCTGGGTACAGAAAACCCAAAAATTAACAGTTATCGGTAAACTAGAACAAATTCAAAGAACAGCCTGTCACAACCTAACAGGAGCCATGAAAACAACACCGACCAGAGCCATGGAAGTCATTTTTAGTCTCACTCCCTTGATATTTTCATCAAGGAGGTTGCTATGACAAAAATGACACGCCTCCGCACGGTTGGTACAGAACCTGATGTAGGATCTGGTAAGCCGAGACGTCGCTTTTGGCAGGAGGCGCTCGATACGCACCCACTGCTTCAAGCGAACATGGACTCCATCTCACCGAGATATATCTTCCATAAGCCATATAAGTTATAATAGAACAAATAGAAGAGCCAGAAGTGGCAGGTACGATTTATATCTACACCGACGGTTCTAAAACAAGGCTCTGGATGTGGAATATACTCCAGATTCTTTAACCTAAACATAAAATGGGCTGTGAGCAATAGTGCCAGTGTAGTTCAGAGCTAATAGGGATTCTCATAGCAGCAAAAGAAACAACCAGAAACAATATCACTGAAAGGAACATGCTCATCTATACAGATAGCAGACAGGCACTCCTCGCCCTGAACAGACCACGAATTTTCTCAGGGTGAGTACTAGAATGTCAAGAAGCTTTAGCCGAATTATCCATCAACAATATGGTCACCTTAAGATGGATCAAAGGTCACGCCACATCAAAAGATAACCGTCTTGCTGACTTACTAGCCAAGAAAGCAGCCAACCAAATACTTTTTGGACCTGGCCCTTCTATTGGCCTGACAAAATCGGTAGTGACAGACCTAATTAAAGAACATTCCCTTGTGATATTCAATGAAAGATGGGATGAAACAAGAAACTGCACAGTTTCCAGGAAGCTCCCAAGTTATCCTGACAACACTGCAGCAAACAAATACATGACTATGACTAGACAGAATCTGCGCCTAGTCACAGGCATTTTGACTGGTAATTGCCAAGTACGGAAGCATCTCCATATCTGCAGAGGGTGCGAACAAGAAGATGGGACCATCGAGCATATCCTTTACAATTTATTTATACGAAGATTTGTGTTCGGCGAGTATCGGGTAACACCGGCCGATTTAAAAGAAGCACCTGTTGGTGACGTTGTCAACTACATTAAATCTGTAGACTGGCTTACGAGCGAGGAGGTGACTATCATCTTAGGAGGATGCACAATGGCCCTAATGAGGCCTAAGTGCCATGGGGGTAACCCACCCTCCACACGTTACAGATGTTTTAATTCGAACTAAATACAGTGAAAGATTTGCAAATAATTGCACAACGATCTAAGAGAAGATAGTAAAAATTAAATGAAAACTATAAACTATTTTCAAGTATATTTGATAATTAATCAAAATATTATTGTTTCGGGTGAAGCATTTAGAAGCTATAGTATATTTTATCACACAAAGACGAATAATTAGGACAAAATTTGGTATATAGAGATACCCGCATTTTGTAATAATGGCTGCGTGAAAGTACTTTTACTATCCTTCATTTTTAAAAAAGAAAATACCCTGATAAAGAACATTGATTTACATAATTTTAATATGAAATGCCGTTACACTTAAAAATCTCCTTAACCTGTTAGTTGTTTTTTTTATAGAAGTTTCCCTTGAATTTCAAACAACATAAAGCACTTTTAAAATAATCTTAAAAACACATTTATTTGAAAATGCTTTCTACTCTCTGGAAGATTTTAATGATTGGCTTTCAAATGTGTTTGTACTATTCTTATTTACATTTTTGTGTGCTGTACTATTCTACCCATAAGGTTTCGTACTGGGATCTACTCTTTATATAACATTCAGGCAGCTTTCAAAGATGACATCGGTCATCGTAATGGCGGAAAATCATGAAGAACTAGTGGTTAACGTGGAATTTACAGCGATGCAAATGAGAAGGTGGATGAGAGAAAAAAAAATGTCTTTAGCGGAAAACAAAATGGTGGCTATAATCCTAAAAGGGCATAGGAAGAGACAGATCACTTATAGGTGTGGGCAGGAGTTAATACTACCAAAGAATGCCCTAAAGTATTTTGGCGTGACCCTAAATCACTCGGGTAGCTTTGGTAGGTATTCAAGAAAAAAAAAAAGGAAAGAAATGCGGTACTGTGTAGACTAATGTCCAATATAAATGAACCAAAAAGCAACAAAAGAGTGATACCCCAATTCGTAATTTAGTTAGTGCTACTGTGGGGAGCATCTATATGATACAAATATCTGGCAGTTGCCTCCTTTATAAAAGGTAAATTACGATGACAGACCAAAAAGGAATACTGTGCGTGATGACAGCCTACAAGACAGAACCCACAAATAATGCTCTAAGCATCATAACAGGAGTGACACCCATACATCTCCTAGCAGATAGGAGGGTTTACCTTTACAACAAAAGAGATGTTACTCATAACTCTAAAAAAGAAAAGAGACGGGAAATTTTTAGAAAGTGGTGTATGGAGTGGGATAGGGATGTAGAAACATGGCAATGGACCAACAAATTGATTAATAAATGTCGGGAATGCCAATACTTAGAAGACTACTTCCTCACGCAAGTACTAATGGGCCAAGAATGTTTCAGGAGTTTGCTAAAGCGAATGAAAATTATAGAATCCCCAAAGTGCATCTATAGCGAAGCAGAAGATAGTGTGGCCCATATGCTCTTCAAGCATAACATATTTTATATCCAGAATAGCCATGGAACTGGCAATAGACGAGGACGTACACTGACAATCTAGTGACAAAAATGAATGGAAACCGGAAATACAAAATTTCGTAAAGGCAATAATAGAACTTAAGAAGATAGAGCTAAGGCAGGAATGATCTGATGTTTTGTTCAAGAGAACAATCCCGGATCAAAAAATGATATCACCTTTTTAGCAAATTTAAAAATACGAAGTCTATTAATTTTGAAAAAAATCTAAATAAAATATAGGGGGTTAATAGGGGTTGAAATATTTAACAAAATCCTAACCCAAAAACAAAAAATTATATCAACTTGAAATGTTTAGCTAAAATCAATCTATAAGAGACAGAAGCCCTTAGATTTTGAAACAATCTGATCAAAAATGTGGAGGTTAAGGGGGTTGAAATAAAAAAAAATATGAAACAAAACAAAAAGCCACATCAATATGAAATTTTTAGTATACAAGTCCACGCAATAGATAAAAATGTTAAATAGTTAAAAAGTGACTCATAATACATTATAGAGAGTAGAATTGTTTCAAGAGTTATTTTAATTAGATTATATCACGAAACAATAAAATAAAACGTTAATTTCGGTCAAAAAATAAGGAAAAAAAATGTTTGATTCTTACCGGTCTGGACATAAAATTAAAATAAGGGATACGGTTAATAAAACGAAGACTAGATTTGGAGGCATAATGATGCACCTGAAGTATATGAAGGAATATGGCTTGAAGTACTTGTCCTGAAACAAACAAAAACATACTTTAATACGCATTGTAGTGAACATTTTTATTATTTTGAAAACAAAAAAAAATGCATTAAAAAGTATAAAATGTGTAATAATATGTCAATGAATATTAACTTTGTAGAATAGAATTTTTTGAGAACATTTTATTTCTTCTTTGAAAATTAATTTGCATAATTTTTGAGAAAGACAACAAAAAAATGTTCTCAAAAAAATTCTGACCTCGTGTGGTATTTGAAAAGATTATTTATCAATATAAACAGAACTTTTATAAATAATATTAGATTTGTTTCTGTAATGTACGAGTATATTTAAACAACCAAAACGAGTTTGGTCCTTTTTTAGTCACCTTTTTCAGAAACTTCACATTGACGTTTCGCGAGATTGGTTGAAAACGCTGCACCATTCTTGTTTTTAGATAGTGTGTTTTGATTGGCTTGTGTTGGAATAAAAGAGTTTTGCCACTGATTGAAGTAATATAGTGTTAAAATATTCAACAGAAGACATCACGTCATTCCCCATCAAGGCAATGCAAGCTTTCGAACGGCACGTCAATCAAAATGACCAGTAAAAAAGTGAAATTAATATCTCATCCTCCGTATAGTCCTGATTTAGATCATAAAGACTTTCAATTTTCAAAAGAAGAAGATGGCGTTGAAACATTTAAAAACTTTTAGAACGAATGATAAAACATTTTTAAAAACAATAAAGTGTCTTGTTTTAATTCTATACCAGCTGTCCAATTAGTGCGTATTTTCTCAATCTCATTTTGTTAGTAATACATGGAAATAAATGTTTTATAGATTAAAATTAGAGGGTTTAACACGTATATTTTTAAATGTGTGTGTGTGTGTGTGTGTGTGTGTGTGTGTGTGTGTGTGTGTGTGTGTGTGTGTGTGTGTGTGTGTGTGTGTGTGTGTGTGTGTGTGTGTGTGTGTGTGTGTGTGTGTGTGTGTGTGTGTGTGTGTGTGTGTGTGTGTGTGTGTGTGTGTGTGTGTGTGTGTGTGTGTGTGTGTGTGTGTGTGTGTGTGTGTGTGTGTGTGTGTGTGTGTGTGTGTGTGTGTGTGTGTGTGTGTGTGTGTGTGTGTGTGTGTGTGTGTGTGTGTGTGTGTGTGTGTGTGTGTGTGTGTGTGTGTGTGTGTGTGTGTGTGTGTGTGTGTGTGTGTGTGTGTGTGTGTGTGTGTGTGTGTGTGTGTGTGTGTGTGTGTGTGTGTGTGTGTGTGTGTGTGTGTGTGTGTGTGTGTGTGTGTGTGTGTGTGTGTGTGTGTGTGTGTGTGTGTGTGTGTGTGTGTGTGTGTGTGTGTGTGTGTGTGTGTGTGTGTGTGTGTGTGTGTGTGTGTGTGTGTGTGTGTGTGTGTGTGTGTGTGTGTGTGTGTGTGTGTGTGTGTGTGTGTGTGTGTGTGTGTGTGTGTGTGTGTGTGTGTGTGTGTGTGTGTGTGTGTGTGTGTGTGTGTGTGTGTGTGTGTGTGTGTGTGTGTGTGTGTGTGTGTGTGTGTGTGTGTGTGTGTGTGTGTGTGTGTGTGTGTGTGTGTGTGTGTGTGTGTGTGTGTGTGTGTGTGTGTGTGTGTGTGTGTGTGTGTGTGTGTGTGTGTGTGTGTGTGTGTGTGTGTGTGTGTGTGTGTGTGTGTGTGTGTGTGTGTGTGTGTGTGTGTGTGTGTGTGTGTGTGTGTGTGTGTGTGTGTGTGTGTGTGTGTGTGTGTGTGTGTGTGTGTGTGTGTGTGTGTGTGTGTGTGTGTGTGTGTGTGTGTGTGTGTGTGTGTGTGTGTGTGTGTGTGTGTGTGTGTGTGTGTGTGTGTGTGTGTGTGTGTGTGTGTGTGTGGGTGTGCGTGTGTGTGCGTGTGCGTGTGCGTGTGGGTGTGGGTGTGGGTGTGCGTGTGCGTGTGCGTGTGCGTGTGCGTGTGCGTGTGCGTGTGCGTGTGCGTGTGCGTGTGTGTCTGTGTGTGTGTGTGTGTGTGTGTGTGTGTGTGTGTGTGTGTGTGTGTGTGTGTGTGTGTGTGTGTGTGTGTGTGTGACTGGGGCAAATTTTTTTGTCTTCTAACGTCAAAGGAGGCTTATAAACACAATCACAGTGGTCTGCATGTAATAGGTAGACAAATAGATAGATAGTGTTTATTTAACTATGTTACACAAACAAGTCATAAGGAAAAATGAAAAAAGTAGTTTGTGCAACAAGAGTAGAAATGATGGCCATTTCACACGAAGACGAAGTTTGAGCACGACGCCGTAGGCGGAGTGCTCAATCGTCTGAGTGCAATATGGACAATCTACTTGAGTTGTACAGTATATTTTTTCTACGACCCACTAATCAAAATCTACAAATTTAAAAAATATTTTAGGTTATTAAGACAAAATAACTAATTTTAAAATAATTTATGAATTTTACTAATTTATAAAATAAAATAAGATAAATATAAAGAAAAAAAATTAATTTAATTAGTCGCGTGGAAGGCAGATGCTCTATCCTCACCTTCACCGCCACTTTTAGGATTTTAGTTTTAATACTCGTAATTAAATTAGTTTCATATAGTTTGATTAAAATTAATTTCATTTTAAATGTATATTTAATCTCAATAACTAAATAATATACTAACAATTAGTTTGGCACATATTTAAAATTTTAAAAATAATAGTAGTTGGGTGTCCAAAATATGAATTGTTTGGTAGATTTCATTTTTTTGCAGTTTTCTCACTACCTACAAAGGATATGAAATATATTCGTTCAGTTGAACGAAATATCACACTTTGTCCTTTGGTAGTCTGTGCGTAGATAAGCAAATATTCATGCGGATATAGAAAAAATAGATTTTTGCAATTAGTACAATTTTAACGCTGTATAAATATAAGAAAAATAGTAATTATTGTAAGTTACATTAACGAAAACAATAGTAATAAAAAAAAAAGAAAACAAGATAAAACATGGCATTAAAAATGGAAGCTTTTGAAATTAAAAACTTACTGTTTCCATGTACTCACTAACAGAATAAAACCAGTGATTGAGAAACATTTTTTTTTATTTTCGCTTTAACAATAGTTTCTCTTTTTACTGACCTTAGGTGGCAAGGTAGTTTATTGAATAATTTCAACTCAAGAGAATTTTACTCTGATTTAATCAATCTGTAACGAGGCAAATACAAATTGTCAGCCTCAGAATAGCGTGTGTTATAAGAATGCGAGTTTAAAATAGTAGAAATATTCTACTTTCAAAAATGGATTTTAATTAATGTTTGGTGAAAATATATTATACGAGGTGTGATCAAAAAATAGAGTAAATATTTAAAATCGAAAATGAGTCAGTAGAATACGACTCACGTTCGATACGTACATTAACCTTAAAAATAGAAGAAAATGTGCAAAATGTGGCAAAAATTAATTGTTCAAAAAGACAAATAAGCATACAGATCTGTGTCAGGTATTTTTTTGGATAATTTACAAATGAGTGCAAGAGTATAGTTATTTAAGTTATTGATGTATATGAATAAAACACAGTGGTTGTAGAACAAACTCTTGGGATACGCCAGTAGCGATATCTTTTTTAAATTAGATTTTGTATTAATGTTTAAATGGACAAATTGTTGTCTTCTTTCCAGATAAGATTTTAATAATTTTAAAGACACACCTTTATTACCATAATATTTTAAGTTCCTCCAACAAAAATTCATGGGATACACATGCCTTGGAAAGGTCACACATTGTTAGAAGAAAATGTTGATGTTCCCCAAGATACAAGTGATATGAGTGATATAAAATCGGAAATGAGTCAGTAGAATACGACTAACGTTCGATACGTACATTAACCCTAAAAATAGAAGAAAACGTGCAAAATGTGGCAAAAATTAATTGTTTAAAAAGGCAAATAATAATACAGACTTGTGCCAGGCATTTTATAGGATAATTTACAAATGAGTGCAAGAGTATAGTTACTTAAGTCTTTGATGTATATGAATAAAACATAGTGGTTCAAGAACAAACTCTTGGGGTACACCATTAGCGACATCTTTTCTAAATTAGATTTTGTATTAATGTTTAAATGGACAAATTGTTGTCTTCTTTCCAGATAAGATTTTAATAATTTTAAAAACACACCTTTATTACCCTAATATTTTAAGTTCTTCCAACAAAAATTCATGGGATACACATGCCTTGGAAAGGTCACACATTGTTAGAAGAAAATGTTGATGTTCCACAAGATCTCCCACTATGTCTTCTGTAACTTCTAGCACAGTTTTTAATATAGATCTAGTTTTTCTAAAACCGTACTGTGCGGTCACATTTTTCTAAATAATTGTATAGTCTTATTTATTATCA